TTTATATTTCATTTCTGCATTTAAAAGTATTTTGATCCCTAGCTGTGCAATGAAGAAAACATAAGCATATTTTTATTTTATCCTGAAGTGATTATAGATTCAGAAATTGCAGAAATGATCTAGAGATCACCCTTAACCCAACTTCCCCCAATGAAAACATTTTATATAACCATGGTATAATTTTCAAAACCAGGAAATTGACATAGGTATATTACTATAATAATATATATTATTACTATATATAATTTATATTAGTATACTTACTGAATAGACACAATTCAGATATCATCACTTTATTTTTCTACCAGACATCACCAATTTTTATGTTCACCAAAGTGCAACTTTTTTATTACATGTCTGGAATAAACAACATAATCACCCTACAAAACTGTTCTGTGACCACAAATCCTTTGTGGTGCCTTGTAGTGACATTCTTTCCTCATTCTTAATCCTGGATAGTATTATTTTTTCTACATCTCTATAATTTATTAATTTTGAGCATGTCATATAAATCACCATTTTTATTCAACACAATTCTGGAAGTCTCAGTATGAGAAACCAGATAAGAGAAAGAAATATAGGGCACAAAACCGGAAAGGAGGAAGGCCAGTTGTCACTTTTTATAGATACCATGATCTTACATGTAGATAACACAAAAGACTCCACCAAAAATTATTCAAAATACATGAATTCAGCAAAGTTGTAGAATAAAAAAAAACCTCAGTATATAAAAATAAAAAGCATTGCTGTATGCCAATAGCCAGTTATTTGAGATAGAAATCAAAGAAATCCCATTTACAGTAGCTACAAAAAATTAAATACTGTGGAATAAATTTAACAAAAAGGGAGAAAGATCTACACAACAAAAACTGTAAAACATTAGAAATTGAAGAGAATACAATGATGGAAAGCTACCATAGGAAATTGGTAATAAGCAGAAGCATTGTTGCCGTGACTATACATCAGATGACGTGGAGAAGTCTTAACTATTGGTTTGCTGGAAGAGTTTGGAAAAATTTGGAAAAGTAGGCCAGAAAAAGCCTAGACTGCTATGAGCCAAATTTAATGGGTGATATTGATGAGTGCTCAGAAGACCAGAATGCTGATAGAAACGATGATAGCAAAGACTGTGCTTGGAAATGTGCTTCAGATGGAAATGAGGACTCTATTAGCCATTAAACTACAGGCTGTCTTATACTGTACCAAAGAATTTAAATGCATCATGTCCATGCCCTGAGACTTTGTACAAGACTGAGTTTAAGGATGACAAACTAGTTTCTCTGGCTCAGCATTCAGGCAACAGCATGGATATTGTTTTAGCCAAATTCACCAAGAGAATCAAGAGCAAAGAGGAGCACAGCAGAAAAATTTGGAAAACTTGCAGTTTAACCAGAGAGGTAGCATATTAGTGCTTCCAACAAGGGTGCAGCTGCTAAAAAGATTAGTTTCACTAAAAAGAAGTCAGGTACTTTGCACTGGGACAACAGGAAAGGTGCTTTGACAGCATCTTGTGAATCAGCAACACTCCATACACTGCAGATTCAAAAGTGTAAATTTAAAGACTTGTGGTTAAGAAGATAGCCCCCACCCATCTATCCGGGACCATGGGATTCATTCCAGCCAGCAAGGCACTCAGAGGCCATTGTAGCCATGGTTCCAGTGGGATCCAGCACAGCTCATGTCAGCAGCAGACCCCACCATCACCCATGTGATGATGGTATTGCATGCATTAGTCGGGTATCATGGAGAATTTACACCAAGATTTCAGAGGAAAGCCTGGAAGGCCAGGTAGTGTGGGACAGGGCCAGAGACCCTGCAGGCATCTCCTGTCAGGGTGATGTGTGAAGCTATGAGAGTGAAGCCAAAGCCACACCGAGGACCACAGAAAGTTAGAGAGACCAGCATGTGGAATATCTGCCAAGGGAGGCTGCAAGCAGTGAGCAGAGCTAGCCAAAGAGAGTGGCCATGTAGGCTGCAGCCAGCAATGTGATGGGGGGTGGGGCTACCCAAGCCATTGGGAGTCCATATTCTACCACTGTGTGCCCCAGATGCTGAAATTGGAGCTGTAGGATTTAATGTTTGCCATCCTGGATTTCAATCTTGATTTCGTAGTGTTCCTCATGATTTTCCTATTCCAAACTTATGGAATGATAATCTTTATCTTGTGCCATCGGTGACTTTTTTATATTTTACAGGGGCTCACAGATAAATATGCTTTGACTCTTTGAGATTTTTGGAATTGGACAATTGAGAAATGCTGGAACTTTTAAAATTTTGTAGACATTTGGATATGGATTAAATGCATTTTTCATTATGAAATAGACATGAACATTCAGGGGCAGAGGTAGACTGCTGTATTTTAGATCTTGGCATTCCCCCAAGACCCATATGTTGAAGGTTTGGTCCCCAGGCCATGATGCTGTTAAGAGGTGGTAGAACCTTTAAGAGCTAAGGCCTAGTGGGAAAGTTTGGTTACTTAGAGCATCCCCCTGAGAGGGGATATTGGGACTTCTGCCACTTCCTCTCACTTTCTGGCCACTCTGTGGTGAGTAGCTTCCTTCATTATGCATTCCTAATATAATGTACTATCTTGCCACAGACCCAATGGCAATAGGGCCAAGTGGCCATAAACAGAAATCTTTAAACCATGACCTAAAATAAAGCCTTCTATCTTTTGATTCTCAGATATTTTGTCACAGTGACAAAAAGCTAAAAAATATCTCTGGCTGCTTTGAAGATCTCCTTTTAATCTTTGACTTTCCTAGGCATGGTGGTCTTTGTTGTGTTTGGGATTTATTGAGCTTTTATCTATGGGTTGGTATCAGTCATGAAATTAGAAAAGTGATCATCTATGACATCAGTTTGTTTCATGCCTTAACCCCTCCTCCTCCATGATCCAAAGACATGTATATTAGAATACTTCACCTTTTTCACATAAAATTGAGACATTTTATATTTTAAACATTTTATCTTCTTTGGATGTTTTCTTTTGCCTGACTTCTATACTTAACTGTAAAATCAGCTATTAAATCTAGGGCGTTTTTCCTTTTCTGCATTTTTCATATTTTTGCTAATGTTTACCTATCCACCATGTTTAATTTTTCCTTGATGTCCGTGAACATATTTATGTAGCTGTTCTGCGGTCTTTGTTTGATAGTTGTCTGAACTGAGACATCTGAGTTCTTTTCTTGCCTGGTTATGGTTTACATTTTCATACATCCTATATGTAGTCAAGTATTTTTGTATACTGAGCACTGTGGATGCTATGGTCAGAATTTACAGCATTCCTTTAAAGAGTTTTGGGCTTGTTCTAGCAGTTAATGTACTGATCGTTCAACTTGATCTTGTCATAACTTCGCTTTAGGCTTTTGTGGCCTGATCTAGAGTAAGTGTAACTTAAATTGTGGACTTTCTGAAGTCTGGATTTTCTGTTTCTTGTTAGTTTTAGATGCCTCCTAATGGCTTTATATTTTTCTTCTGACTTTATCATTTTTTATCATGGGTTTTTATGGCAGAAGAGCCTGATACCCATTACTCATGGCCAGAGAAGTTGCATTTATATTTTCCAAGCTCCCCAGTTGTTTTTAATATGCATTCAAGCCTAATAACTGCTGTAATGAAGGCTTTCTTGACAGCACCATTGACTTCTGGGACTGGATTATTTTTTGTGGGGTGGCTGTTCTTTATGTTGTAGGATGTTTAGCAACATTCCTAGTATTTTCCAGATGTCAAAAGTACCCCCTCCCCGTTGTGGCAACCCAAAATGTTTCTAGAAATTGTTAAATGTTTTTGTCTTGAACTATTCAACTGTATGTGCAAAAGCAGCCATAAATAATCTTAAAAAATGGACAAAGTTGTGTTCCAGTAAACCTATTAAAAAAATTCAGGTGGCAATTATTGCCAACTTCTATTATAAACTGAGATCTTTCCCAGTCAGATCTCAGAGACCAAATACTCTTATAAAAGAGTACTTTCCCATTTGATGTCAATTGTTGGTGCTGAATGAGAAAATGAGCGGTATAGTTTACACAATGGATGGTTCTTAAAATTTTAGTAGCTTGATTTCTAACTATATGGAAATATTTCTTTCACATGTAAGTTATATATAAATGCTGCTTAACTAATCAGTGATTCTCAGCCCTTAGAATTATGATTTGAAGGCACAGTTCTTTGAGAATGATTTACAATGTACTAGAATACTACTTATTTATCTTACCTCTAGTGAATGAAGTCAACAAGACTTAGGAAAACTGCATTAGTGTAACTTTGTTAGCTTTATCTCTCAATTAGTTTGTTTATTTTTAATAGGAAAGCTAAAGAGTCTTTTCAGAACATCTCTACTTTGTTTCTTGTGAATTATGTAGAAATCCTTTCTTACCTTCTAAAACTCGACCCTGAAAGTGACTTTTTTGGGGTGGGGGAGACTTTTTGAAGGGTGACAGTTTAGAAATTGAGCTTATACTGAAGAATGATGGTGTTGCAGATGTTTCTGAATGAAAATAACAAGAAGACTAAGGTGTTTCTGCTTTGTTTTATAAATTGAATAAGGAGAGGGCAATCCAAGGATTACCAAAGTGAAGAAGAAACAGAACAACTCCTGACTTTCAGCCAGTTAAGTAGTGAGGAAAAAACTGATTCCTGAGGCTCTGATCCACATGAATGATGGTGAAAACATTGAAGCAACTTCTGAAATGTGTATTTAAGTAACCAGTTAATTTATTATCTATTCAGTCTGTCCTGTTTGGGCTTCACAACTTTGCAACAATTGTGACACATCATCCACTGTGAATTTTTCCTGGTTTGTACACAGCCTCATCCTTTACTCAGTAAATAAAGCTGGAATCATTTGACTTGCCAAGATATGCAAGGTTGAGACTAGTGGCCAAAAGCTTGACCATCTTGCCCAGAGAATTGTTTTTTCATATTTTGTTTTTAATTGTACACTATTTAGTGAAATTGTCTATTTGTTTTAAAAAGAACCATCCAATGACTCTGATTTGATTAAATTTTATTTAGCATTCATACAGAATATTCAAAAGACAAAAAAAATCTAACAAACTATATATGTATTTTTTTCCATAGGAAGGCAGAAAGAGAAGACAAAAATATTGTGAGTCTTCAGAACTTCTGAATGAAATAAACAGTTTTCCCCAAAAATCTAGCTATGTGCAATTCCCAAATTCATTTTATGAGCCCTATCAAGATTTTACCAATTCAGATGTAATCAGCAAGTCAAGGTCTCCTCCTTGGTACACACATACTTCCCCAATTGGTACAGGGGTCACAGACTTAGAAAGTTCTACAGGACTCTGGCCTACAATTTCCCAGTTTACTCTTAGTGAAGAGGCAAAGGCAGATGTATATTATTATGGCTTCATCATAGTTTTCCTTTTGATATTAGTATGTCTTGCTTTATGTATTCTCTGAAGATATCAAATAAAATCCTTTTAATAAAGTTTCTACTTCTTCATAGAAATGCTTATTTCAGGGTTTCCTTCCAGACATTTTCAAGGTAATTGGCTAAAAAAAATATATATATGATTTTAAAGTTCGTGAACACTAAAATTCTTTATGCTAGAAATAATATCACTATACAGTTTGGGACATCATTTTCTAAAGTTTCAAGTAAATGAGGAAATCTAGAAAAGGAGTTCTTAGAGAAAACTTTTCTCACTAGGTAAATAGAGAATGTGTTTCAAAAAGTTTCAGATAAGCTGATATTCTCTATAGGTGTCTTTTATAACATTAATAAAAGGCACATTCTATGAATTGTGATAAACACTTTGCTTACCTTACTACAGTATGGACATTCACCAAAGATGATATTAAAACTCTGTCTACTAGTGAGTAGTCCTCTCAACCACTGGAGATTTAAAAAAGAGAAAAAAAAGTCAGTATGATTCCAGATGGTTAACCTTACTAATTGTTTAATTATTAGAGTAAGAAATACATTTTTAGCCCTTGGTTCAGTTCCAAGCACCACTAGGGATTGGGTAGGGGGAGACACATTTCTTGAGCCAAATAATACCAGAGTATTGTTAAGTTGAATAACAAGAGGAGATCAACATGGAATAGTCTGAACCACTGGTTTATAAGACCCTTTGATGAGAGTTATACTTTCTTTGCCCTCAAAGATAATGCATAGAAGTTCCTGGGGTTTACATACCTTCCCTAAATCCATTAATCAATATAAAGAACTCCTGCCACAAAAGATCCTATAAGCTTCCAAAAATTTAATCTCACTGTGGTCTTAATCACCAAGATTGTATTCTCAAGCCACTGATTACAAAGCAATATTTTAAAGTTAAATTTCGTATTACAAAAGCACATGTTCCCTTAGCGTTCTATAATCAGACCTGATATTTATGTAATATAAATTGATGTTTGTATCTGAAGTCTCTATTGGTATGGTGTATATAGTACCGAATGCTATCTTTAACCAGAAAAGTGTGATTGTTGCATTTCTTCTATGGTTAAGTACAGCCTGAAAAATAAGGTACTGTACCGTGTGTTAATTCCCTCACCTCAGTGCTGCCACCAGGATGAATCTATGGAGCTTGCACTGGGATAATGTACCACCAACTTAAACTGTTATGCAAAAAACAAGTCTGCAAATATATTCTGGATAGATTTTTCTCCCTTCTTGGATACTTTAAGCATCTCTTCATTTACTAGTAAACTGGTAAAAGAAATTAAGGCAAAAGGGGATCACAACTGAATAAACAAATTTGTTCATATATTTCAAATATGCATATTTTCTATGCTGTATTAGCTGGAAAAAAAAGTCTTGCCATTATTTTTTAGTTTTACCTCATATAAGCATATTTGATGAAAAGGCTGTCCACACTGGGGATTACCACACACTTGATCAGGAATGGTACCATCAAGTTGATAGGCATAACAAATTCCACAATCCATAGTAAAATCCTTCAAAAGAAAAATATTTATATGCATATTTCTTCAAAATGCATATGTAAGATTAGGGAAAAACAGTACATATACAATATTAAATTTTATATCATTTTTATAAAAGTAACTTGCCATATTAAACATCTAGTAAAGGTACTTTTTAGTATTTCCTTTTTCATTCAAATATACACATATGTACCAACTTTCATTTTGGGGCCTTAGAGATTTCATCCATACGCATGAATATGTCTATATAATATGTAAATAAGGGAATTGACATAATCTAGTAATTACTAACTAAGGTTCAAAAATTTATATAACTACAAGAAAAACATCACCACCACTTAGTATTCTACAACCTTAGTAGCTATGTGAACATCAATTCTTTATCTTTGCAATAGTAGTTTTCATTTAAAAAAAAATACTGTCATCCTTCATAAACACTTACATCAAGTTAACTGAAACTATACTTCAGTTATCCATAAGTAGATAATATAGAAGATCCAAACATCTCATTAGCTATTTTGGACTTTTCCCTTTATTTCTAATGATAAACGTCTGTCAATCACTCTGCTGCTGAAGACCATGATAAAAAGTACATTTAAAACCACCAAAGGTTAACAAGTTCTTTGATATAAAAATTTGTAGTTCAGAGGTCTGTGTTAGAACATTATTCTAATTCCCTCCCTGTTAGCCTCATTTTTCTGAGAGAAGCATTTAAATTTAATTATGCAACACAATGTGGAATATCAAAGCACTGATAAAACTTACAGATTTTTCCAGGATACCACGAGCTGGGAAATCAATTTCTAAAACATCTTTCAGATTTTGTAATAGACTATTTTCTGGATCCCTAAAAGCATGAAAAAAAAAAAAAACATATACATACATATACAATCATATATTTGCTATAAAATTTGTGAAATCATAGACAAATTAATATATTGCCAAGATACTTACCACAAATGTATGTTCCTGCTCAGCTTAATTCCCAGGGGTTTTACCACTTCAGATATTAAAACAAAAAATAAATAAATAAATAATTTAGGGTTTTCTCTCATTTCATACAGCCACATTTGATACAGAAAGTAAACTTCTGAACTATTTGACTTGAAAACCTAAATCATAGGCATGGTGTTAATTAAAAGTATATAATTCACAATGAGAAATTTTCATTTAAAGTAATTACTATTTCTAATTCAGAATTATATTTAACAGTGGTAGCCAAGGACTTTATGATTCTGTTAAAAATATTTCTGAGTTCTGATACCATGGTCAGCTCCAAGAAAGCAGCATTCAGGAAGCATAGTAGGATGCCTGGGGTCCACTTCTATATTTATGGAAGCATTATTTCCTAGAACAAAAGAAGATTAAAGTTTTCACAAGTGTACCAGTTCATCAAGCCAACAAAGACATGTCAGTCTGACTGCCAATTTTACTGTATACCCACTCAAGTAAAGATTAACGAAATGTTTTATTAAAAGAGGTAATTTTGAAATCATGATCATCAGTAAAGATTCATGGATCTCAAGTTTAAAAAAAAAACAGTCAATTTCTAATGTAAGTAACTTGGGATTCTGGTCAATTCTGTTACAGAAAAGTTCCAATAAATATAATTTTAAACACCTGAAAATAAAACCTAATCATCTTTTTCCCTACCTAATGCAATTCTGCGTGCTGTTGCACTCCGGGTAGGTTTTTCTGGCTCAAGTACCCAGGTCTTCTCATCAATTTCATCCATAACATCCCAGAATGCCTTCAGTGATTCTAACGCTGCCAAAAACTGACTATGAATGCTTATTAAGGAGCCCTGTGTAAAGATGAAAGCTGAATAAGTTATATGGCACTCTACCAATAGGAAATAATGTTTCCCTCAAAATACCTCAATTTAGAAATTTTAAGCTCTGTTTCATTTCAGCTAGAAGGTGGACTCCAACAAACAAAACAACTCTCCCTGTATTACATCTCTTCATCTCCACTAGCATTAACAGGATTCTTTTTCTGTCAATAGATTATATCCTTTATAGAGAAAAAAATTTTTAAACCCATATTTTTATGACATATATAGCACAGTAATTATTAACATATGAACAACTTCATTAATGTATACTATATATCTAATGTATTGAGCATAGTGTCTAAATGTCGATATGAAAATATTTGTGCTACAAAATGAAGTCCAGTACAGCATTGTCATTTTATTATAAAACTACCAACCTTTATCATTAAGAAATACCTTTGTAGTTCTAATTAGGCAAAATGTACGAAAAAGGTTTAACATATTTTTCAAGAATTCAGATAACCATGATTTAACTTTTAGTTCATCTGAATTTGGTGTTTAAGATATTAATCCCTTGTGGGAGTTAGCCTAAATAAATTTTCACTAAAAGCCACCACCAATTTTTTAAAAGTTTTTATTTTTACTCCCCCCCGCCCCCCCAGCTCCTTTGGTAGTATTATGGATTGTGCTCAGGGTCACTTTACCACTAAGCTATATCCCTGCTCCTTTTTATTTGAGATAGGGTTTCACCAAGTTTGGTGAAGCTGGCCTTGAACTTGCAATTCTCCTGTCTGGTCTCCTGAGTCACTAGGATAACAGGTGTGCGCAACCATGCCCAGCCTTTAAATAAAGTCAAAGTCACTTATAAAATAATGTGATATGTTTAAAAGACACAACTATTTTCTAAGCATTTTTTATATAAAAAGTAAAATGATTTGAAAAGAATTAAAGGGTGCAGTTACTCTTTCAAATAAGCGAAACATAATTAAAATAATATAAGTGTACTAGGCCAATGTGACATAAGCCAACAATGCAAGAATAAGACATAACCTGTGTAAGAGAAAGAAAGTAGCCACTCTTTACACATCCCAGGTGCTTAAGGAAAACGAATTCCATGTCATCACTTCTACCAGTGTTTATAGTTAGATGAATTCATGGCTCAGTTTCATCAAGCTGAGTTCAACTATTTCACACAAAAGAAAAAAAGTAAGAGTAGGAACTAGAGCTTAATGTCTGAAAATAACTTTTTAAGACACTAAGGGTAGAATGTCTTTTCTGATCTATCATACCTACAAATTTGGAAGAAAAAATCCAGCAATTCAGAAAACTAACTTCCCAAGTAACTAGTTTTTAAATCAGTATAGCAGTCTTTTCCTTTCTCATTTCTCCCCATAAAATGTTTTCATAATATTTTATTTGAAAGTATTTCCAAATGTCCATTTCTCTTACATGCAGCTACAAATAAAATTCTAACTGTAGTTTTAAAAAAATATTTTTAGTTGTAGATGGACACAATACCTTTGTTTACTTAGTTTTTTATGTGGGGCTGGGGATCAAACCCAGTGCCTCACACGTGCTAAGCAAGTGGTCTACCACTAAGCCACAACCCCAGCCCCTCTAACTGCATTTTGAACAGAAAATAAGATACTTCAAAATAAGAAATGAGCCAATAACAGAAAAAAAAAAAAAGCACGTGAGAGAAAATAACATAAAAAAAAAGGAAACAATCCTCAAACTAGAGATCACTTGGTATTTATAGAAAAAGTGCATTTTAAATCCTAAAAACCATTATCAGATTTCATAAACACACACACATACCATAAATGATAAGGAATAATGTAAGTAAAATTAAAGTTAGTTATATTTCAATAAGTATTTTATAGGGAAATTATCTAAACTATTTTTTTCAAAATAAAAAAAAAAAGGCAACTCATTTTGTAATAAAAGCAGTTTCATATCTCACCAAAACTACTATGCTGTTTTAAGATTTACTGTTTTGGCCAATATGCAATCTGAAAAATAAAATGAAAAATGGATCAAAAAAAATGTTCAGAAACGGGTGAGAGAGTGAGAACACAAATTGTGAGATAACATTAAGCTGAAACAAAACAAAAACGCAGCTATGTAAAGCAACCTGAGCTCTCATAGTCCTGGTGGGCATGTAAAATGGCACTGATTGCTTTTGGAAAGATTTGGCAACTGCATGTCTTTAAAAACTGAACACATCCATATCCTGTTACCTAACAAGCCTAATCTAAGAGCAGTGAAAAGATATGTCCATGACAAGACTTCCCCCGGAAAGCTCTTTGCAGCTATGTTCCCAAGAACCCTTACTAAAGCTTTATTCTCAAGAACCCAAAACTAGAAATAATCCAGATGCCCATCAATAGAAAAAAAGGATAAATAAATCCCAGTAAATTTAAGTGACAGAGTACCACTCAGGAATAAAAAGAGCAAACTATTAATATATGTCACAACATGGGTAAATTTCAAAACTTTATGCTGGGTGAAATAAGCCTACATACGAAGAGTGTATACTGTCTGCTACTGTTTATATGAAGTTTGGAACAGGCATAATTAAGCTATCAGAAAAATATCAAAATAATGGTGATTTACTAGAAGGGATAGGACCCTGGGATGGAACATACTGCATTTTGAATATGGACTGCACAGGTGTGTCCACTTACTGGGTTGATAGTATACTTCAGATTTGTGCATTTCATTGTTTTCAAATTGTACAAAGTAAAAGGTTTGCATGCTGATGTATTTTAGAAAAAGTGTTCTAATACTAGCAAATTATTTTGCAAGGCACTAAAAATCAGATGGCTTCATGAATGGATAGAGTGATGAATAAATGTAAAGATATATAATAAAGTAAGTACAGTAAATGTTAAGTGTAGAATCTAAATAATGGATATATGGGTATTCATCATAAAACTTTTTCAAGGTTTCTGTATGTTTGAACATTTATAATATAATATTAAAAGGGAAATGAATCTTTAAAATATTAAATTATATCAATTATGCATGAGTTATTTATTATAACTGAAAAATTTTAATAATTAGCCTTTTAAAATAAATTTCTAAATTTATATAATTAACTTTTTAAATATATTAGGGTTAAATAGTAAACTTGCAATCATGTCTTCTTAGGAAAAAAGCTCATTCTATAAGTAAATTATAATCTTTCAAATGAAATATCTATGACAGGCATTCTTAATCAGACAATCTTAAAAGGATTAAAAAATATATTCTCTAATTTTTTAGTAAAATTCACCCTTTCCTTCAACTATGAATATAATTTAAAAAAAAACCCACTGAAATACCATTAGCACATCTTTCTCTAAAATAAAAATCACACAGGAATAACTCAAATAACACTAATATATATTCTACACAGACATTCCTTTTCAATTGATCTTAGTTCAGAGCAGCCTTTGGCACTGGGACTTTTAAAAGTTTCCCCAGTGATTCTAACATGCAGACAAGGTTGAGAACCACTGGTGGAACGATGAATAGCCATGCTTGTTATAGTTTAAATGGTCCCAGAGTCATACTTGTATAAGATTCAGGCAATCCAGCCTGTAAGGAAAAAAGCATCCTTCAGAACATTTTCATCATAACTTTAATAAGTAATATTTCATTTTTATAATAAATTTTGGGATATTAGGGACTATATGAGTTTGTAAAAGTAGAATTCATTTTATAAAATATCAAAGAAAATGCTTTATCTTCAACTTAAAATTCTCAATTTTTAGCCACATTCAACAAACTATGAGTCAAGCAATGAAGAAAGCTAGTCTTCATTTATAGTACAAAGTAATACAAAATTAAATAAGTAAATACTACATAAATGAATTCTGACCTAATACATTCAGTTCAGCAAATATAAATAATGTGTTTACCAAGTGTTATTCTGTATGCTAGATACTGATGATGTTAAGAATACAGAGCAAGAGTGGTGGCACATGCCTATAATCTCAGCAACTTGGGAGTCTGAGGCAGGAGGATCACAAGTCCCAGGCAAGCCTCAGCAATGTAGCAAGGCCCTAAGTAACTTAGTGAGAACCTGTCTCAAACTAAAAAAGTTCTGGGGGCGTAACTCAGTGGTTAAGTGCCCCTGGGTTCAATTCCTGGTACCAAAAAAAAAAAAAAAGGGAAAAAACTGTGTTAAGATCATAGACTGTAGTCAAATCTCAAGGCACATTCGTAGCTCCACCATGTACAGTTGCATTTCTCAGCAAGTTAGTTAATCTCATTTAGTTTCTTGTGTTAGCTTTCTGTCACTATAATAAAGTACTTGTGTTAATTAACTATGTTAGTCATCATTTTGTCATGGTTTCGGGGGTTTTCGTCCACAGTTGGCTGGATCCATTACTCTGAAGTGAGGCAGAACATCACAGCAGAAGGGTGTGGCAGAGAAAAGCTGCTCAGCTCACAACAGCAGGGAAGGAAGTGGGAAGGGGCAGCAGGGACATGATATAGTGGTAGAGGACACAGACCCCAGTGACCTCTTGGTCCAATCATGTTCCATGTGCCCAGTTTCCACCACCTTACGTAGTCCATGCAGTTATCAATGATTAATCCACTGATGAGGTCACAGGTCTCACGATCTAATCACTTCCCAAAAGCCCCACCTCTGGACAATGCTGCACCAGGGACCAAGCCTTCAACACATGAGCCTTGGGAGAACATTACATATCCAAACCATAACATAACTTATCAAGTGCAAAGATTTACTTCATTTCACAGTTCTGGAGTTTCCAATTCAAAATCAGGCAAACTCATCACTTCTGGGCCTCTAATAAGGGTGCCAAATGGCAATGGCAGGGAGCATGTGGTAGAGCAAAATGCTCATCTCACTGCAAGGAAACCAAAAGAAAGCAGCAGCAGCCTGGGCCCCAACAATTCCCAACAAGGACATATTACCAGTGGCCTATGGACCTCCCAAAAAGCTCCACCTCCTAAATGGTGCTGCCCTAGGGACCAAGCCTTTAACATATGGATCTTTGGGGGGACACTTATCCAAA